ATTAGCGTATGCAACATTGCTAGTTATTAGAAGCTTATTCAGGTAGGCCGAACAAATCAAATAAAGTAGAATGAAATATCTCCGGCTTAAAAAGACCTAGTGTAAGTGTAAGTTGGTTTAGCCCAACTGAGTTGAAGAAGCATCATGAATGCATGGCGCGTTGAGGCTAGTGTTGACTCGATCCTGAAGTTTGTCGACCGGATGCGCCAGTTGTGTGCTGTGGACTCAGTATTTGGACGCCTTCTCGTGGCGACCGCTGGGTGGGTTTTGGGTCGCACTTTTCTTCTAGTTAAGAGCGGGGACACAATTCCGCGTGAGTCGGTTCATTGGCTCATGGCGTACGGCTCACTGCCTTTCGGGTGTAAATTTAATCGAAGACTTTGGCTGAGGACCCGGGTCGTTTATTTGTTCGTTGTGGAACCACTAGCAGTATTCTTGTCCAACCCCCAACCATGATTCAATCCAATAATAATCCCCTGCCGCACCGGCCAGCGCAGTGGAACCAGGGAAAGGGTCAGCTGATTTGCTGCAGACAGCGTTGTGTATAAGCAAAAATGTGCTACCGCTGACACTCCCCTTCTTTCTTATTCCCCGTCACATACTCTCTCGATCCCCATTTGACCTAATAAACGACTTCCTTCAACACAGGCCACCACAAGAGGCTTGGTCCGCCGCCACAATCGTCTGCCGGTGCCGATGGACTCCAGCAGTTGATTCTGGAGTTATTTTCTGCCATCCTCTAGCCCTCTGTGATTCGGCTAGTCTACAGATCTCTGTCCGGTGGTGTTTTACTGAGACTGGATATGCCGATTCCGAAAGGCGCTGATCCAATTAAGGTGGACCATTACCGTTTAATTTGCCTGACCTCTGTTTAGGCCAAAATAATCGATAAGATCGTGAGAAAAGATCTAGTGCATCTGCTGGCCTTAATAGGCCTGACGCCGGCCAAGCAATGTTTCTTGAAAGTCTGCTCACACATCAGCAACTTGCTCGTAATGATGCATGGATGGTAGCAAGCGGTTAACAGGAGGAAGCCTGCCGACCTGGTCTTACGTTAATATCAGTAAAGGGTTCGACAAGGTGAAACGTGAGTTCCTAATTCAAGATGCGAATGTGCAGTGTTGGTGGCTCACTACATCAGTGGAGCAGCGACTTCTTGATTGGTAGGAAGTGAAGGATGCAGGTGGATAACTGTCTAACGGACTGGTATCATTCTGCTAATGAGATATCTCAAAGCAAAGTGTTGGGGTCTGTTTTGTTCCTGAGCCATATGAACAAATTACATTAGCTTCTCCAGTCACCGTTTGCCTTGTTTACAGACGACCTGAAGATTTGGAGAGTAAATGATACTCCGACGACTGCGACATACTTCAGTATAGTCGGCAGAGGTCAATCAGCCGACTAGACGTTACATGTGAGTCAGTTCCCCATGTTGAGGCTGCTGCTGCACAGGCGCACATCAAGCAGCACTCGCAAGCACAGATACAACTTTGTACTATCGGACCTAAAGTGGACAGCTGACCCTCGATACCTCGAGTCTTGTGTGGTGAAATACTGGAACAATTTATCCGAGAAAGCAGTAGTGGGGAAATTTATGTCGGAACTCAACGAATTGCTGGACACCCACTTTGCGGATCGCTGGTTTCCATGACGCCTCGCTACTCGTTCTTTGCCAAAGAGCTGGCGTGACGAACATTGATTCCTGGATCGAAAATTGCGCAGAAGGTGGCAAAAGGACCGTAAAGCTTAGTGGTATGGATTTGCTAAGGAGATGAAACTTACTAGTCTCTCTGTTAATACCAAAACACTGGTGTGTGCGAAACAATCTGTGATCAATAAGCTTCAGAACCGGTTGGAACGATGGACTGAACAGTTTAACTCACAGTTTCGCTGGTCACCAGCCCCATCTGCTTCTTCTGGGGCGCACATTTGTGCTGAGTAATCTGTCTCCACAGATCCTCTCTCTTAGCAAGAAATCTGACATAAACACCACCTAATGAAACATCTTAAAGCACCCGCCCCTGATAGTTTACATCCTGCTCTCTTTAAGTATGGTGACTATTCGCTGGTTCAAGAACTTACCGCTTTGTTCTCAGAAGTATGATCAAAAAAGGAGGTTCTATAGTCTTAATCTGAGAAGATTTTCGTCCCTATTTGCAGAAACTCCTGCGCATAATGTGATCCAAATTGAGGTATAAGTTTGATTCCATTCCTCTGCAAGCTTCATGTGTCCATCATACTTGGTAGGCTATCCTCAACTTGCGAATCGATAGAGCGGGAAGAACCGGTTGACCGCGGCTGCGTCTATCAACTTTTCACACTCCGCCTGATCCTCGAGATTCGCCATGTGTACCAGAAGCTGAGGATTGTCGCCTTCCTGGATATCCGTACTGCTATAGACAATGCCGACAGGACTGTATTGTGGCACTGTTTGTTGGGGAATGGCGTCCCCGGGAAGTTAGTTTCCGTACTCTACCCTACTCGGGTAGAGTTATGGTGAGCTTTCGACTTCCATTATTGCTACCAGTTGCGGTTCGACAAGGATTCCTTATGTCTCCATTCCTCTTCAAGTTTGCGTTGAGGATGTTCTCAGAAATGCTTTAGAAGACTCGCTGCACGCTGGCGTTGAGCACCTCCCAGATAGTCCGGTGATTTATTTGGATTAAGCTGATGATGTCGTCTTCTTGGGTGACGGTCCAAAGGCCGTACAACTTGCACTTACCACCTGGCGATAGAAGCTTCAATGTATGGCAGCACTTTTCACCATCCAAGTGCAAAGCGTTTTTTTTTCAAAGCTGGTATACGCCCCTACCTTCACACAACATCGATGGGGAAAGTTTAGAAGTGTTTTGTCTACCTGGGAAGCTGCATCACTGCTGGGGGAGCTGTCGGAAACAAGATTTCGATGCGTATCTCAAGAACTCGTCTCGACTTCTCCAGGCTGAGACATTTATGGCGCCGCCATGACATCCATCTCTCCATCAAAGAACGGGTTTATAGTGTTACTGTCCGCGCTGTATTGTTTTACGGTTGCGTGACGTGGTCTGTTCAAACCGTTGACCTGTGCCTACTGTCTGTCATCGAGCACTGTTATTTGCGGTCCACTGCACGTGTGGTAGTTACACCACGCAAGCAATGCGGAATTTAGACAGCGCGGCTTGGGGAATACAATCACTCGCTCGAAGAGATTTTCGCACTTTGCCAGTTGCGGTGTCTTGGTCACGTACTGCGCACGCCCGATTAGCGTCTTCCGTGTTATGATTATCCGCAGTTGCTGGGTAAGGCTGGGGGAAGCCGTACGGCGGACAGCCTACGACTTGGAGAAATTGTATGTACAATCTAAAGAAGCACTTGGCCTCGGTCAATTGTTCCCAATTTCTTGGTTTCGGTCCCAGACATACGGAGATTCGCTGGTTGCAGGCCGTGGAAGTTATGGCTCGAGACCGACATCTCTCTCTGCATATTGCGATGATCCCCTTTCCCTCCCTTAATAAAACAAACTGACACAAGAATCGTAATATTGTGGGTGGAAAATTGGACAAATGTTATTTAGCCTAATCTTGTTTTCCCATTCTGCCATGATTCCGATGGCAAAACACCTGTATCACAGAGTGTGAATAAATAACAATAATGATAATAATAATAATAATAATAATAATAATAAGGATGTGCAGTCACCTGTTAGCTTGACACCTTTGGATCAGGGTCTAGAGAACGGCAAGTGCTCCCAAGTTGTCAGAAACACTTACTGATGAAGCAACGAACACCGTTGTTGAGTAACATGGGTTGGCTACGCCAAGCAAGCCGTATGTGATACTCACCTGTTAACATCATGGAATGGAGGTTAGCTGTTACTAGAGAGCGAAGGGTCGGTTTTTGATATATCTTGGAAAGTTTGTAAAGGCTCGAATCTTTCCAACAGCCAATGCTCATTCAAAAAAGCTTTTGACTAACGGATTTCACCTTGTTGTTCCTTTAGCACGCTGTGCTAAGTAATAGCACTAAGGATTCTATGCACCCACACTATAGGTTTCTGTCAGCTGTGACATCATGTGGTCAAAGTAAAGAAAAACAGAAATTTTGCGCCAAATATCGTTGTAAGATTAGCTCTTGTGTTGTAGACGGGTGTGTTTACAGACAACAGCTATTTAATAATGGTAGCAGCTATAGCACCATTTTCAGTAATTCTTTTAAGCAATGTTTGTTGTGGAACATAACTAAGCCCGGCTTACTGATTTAGTCCGGATCAACCGAGGAAGATCTCTGGCACAAACACCACATAGTGCTCTAACTTATCAAACCAGTAACCCCGGTTATAGCATTAAGAAGTATAAGTTTAGTGTTGCTCCCTTTGTTTAAGATTTAAACAAAGTTTGCAGTTGGGGTTTTTCCCTGTCAACGGTGTTCAGTCCTGTTGTCGTGCTTCATGCTCACATGAACTGCTGGCGTGAACGGAAAACTGAGGAATTCAAATAAGATAACAGGCAGGACGCACATACTCAGCAGGCCATTTGCTGGAGTTCTGCTTTTATAATGGCTTGTTGCACGTGTATTCACGCTAAAAGCGCATGAATGTTCCGTGATTCGGTTACCTACTTGCATTACCTAATTAGCTCGAGTTTCGTTCAGTGAATTGCGATTTATCGCAGACATAGTTTTGTAATCTATCGACACATTGCTACGTCTACTATCTACGGCGTGGTGTAAACCGCACGTGACGATGTCTGTTGTTGTAACACAACTGGAATCTAATCATCCGATGGCGAACATAGGCTATGAATGTTGGCAGAAATCACACAACCTGTTCAGTTTTGGTTATCAAAGATCGATTAAATCTGCTTCTTTGATAGCACTGATTGACAACTATTCCGTTTAAGGCCTAGCAGTCAGCAATCTCCATACAGACGTCAACTTGTGCACTATTATACAAACAGTTGCTGGTCTAACACGGAAAACGATGGATCAGGTAAAAAAGGTGGGTTGGTTGACAACGAACTCACAATGCGTCGGAAGTAGTTTCCCCGTTTAATTTCTGCAAGCGATAGGCAAAACTGAAGCATTACGAACGCGAGGAACAAAGTGGTACCGGCAATCGCTGCCTTCCGAGAAAATTGAAGCTTGGCTGCATCGTTGGATCCAGGTGACAACCTACCTGGGATTAACTGAACAAAAGGAATTTGGAATTTTACTGGCATTGCTTAGTAGGATAGAGCATGTATTTCAATTGCAGTGCCGTAACTGGTATGGTACCATAAACCGCCGGCTAAATGGCCCACCAGGGTGAATTGTGTGAATGGTTTCAATCGAGCATTATAAGTTGGATCTCTTTCCTATGAAATAAACCTGCTTGGGATGCGTGTGAAATTAAAAGCGTTGACTTCTGTGGAACTGCAGGAATTCTAAAGAAAACGCTTGCATGCAGGACATCGCGAGATCCATTGAATTGAATAGCGACGATGAGAAGGTAGAAGTAAAAGTATTAGTGCGAATCTGATGTACTTGGGTGTTTAATACTATTGTTAAGTTGAAAGATTTAAAAGAAATATTGGGCTAAATTCGGAGGGAATTTGTCATTGCTACGCTCAGTGCAACTGTTGTATTTGCCCTTTCTAATATCGCTCGATAACAGGCCGAAACCGATGATTCTTTTCTTTCGAATCAGTAACAAACACCACTTTCCTGGGGGGGGGGTTGATAGCGGCCATCGTCGATGCTCGGTGTTTAAAATAATGGGAACTGAGTTTCAAGAACCAGTTCTTTATTGTACACAAGGAAAACGCAATTATTGACTGCAGAGTAAATCACAGCTCTATTTACTTTGTCTAGTTGATTGTTCACGTCCCCCCTTAGTCCATTGCTCTTGCTCATTAACTCGAATGGAGAGGATCTCGATGTCCTAGCCCTTAACAAAGCAGAGGATTTGTTCGGTGTAAATGCACCCGAAGTTAGTGAAGGCGCCATGCTGTTCTGGATGTTTAGTGGATGCTTGATTCGGAGTAGATGCGATGTGACAAGTTTCGTTATGGACGCAATTTCCTTACTCCACATATACTCTCAGAGCTAGCACGCCAACAGCGGAGGTACAAATTGTATTATCCGCCTAGTTATGGTAATCTTCAAGCAAGCCGTTTCATTTATGGTCTGCCGGTAACATTGCGAAGTCATTGCACTGTGGCATTTTGTTCCTGTCACGGACGAAGCAAGTTTAAGCTCTATTCATTTCAAGATGGTTCATGACAGGAAGAAAGACACCATAAACTGCTTATATATGCTACTGGATTCTGTGTGTTTGAATAAACATGCCCTTCCTCAAAGCACAAAAAGCTAAACCCTGATAAGCAAACTTTAAAACGCACTGTTTAAATACGCCTTGAAGTACACCTAGAGTGCGAATTATGAGAGAAAGCTTGACAGTTCGAAATGTTCTCTGATAATCAACGCGTTGGTTCCATACGGATAGTCCTTGAAAAATTCTACACGATCACCTCTCCTTGGTGCTAAACAATTGCTGGAGCTGTTAGGTCGAACATATAGTTGACACCCTTTTCCATAGGAGACAAACTGCTCATAAGTACTCTTTGCCATCAATGCATGTGCGGGATAAAAACACCTGGCGCTGTTGGTGGGTCACACATTCCACTGCGTCGTAAGGGAGTGCCGAGTCAAGTACAACAACAGAGGCGAGGTGACGCTGAATCTCCGAACAAGCAGATTCCTTCTGAAAACGATGAGCCACGATCCGTTCTCCAAAATTTGTACCCCACCGCACTCGACGGTCAATGTCGTCGAAAGACGGCCGGTTTAAATGATTTTGGTGGTTTGGTATCTTTCATAAATGCCCTACATCTAAGTACCCTCACTTCCATTAGTGAATTTAAGTATCACACTTAATTAGCAGAGGTGACTACAAAGATAATCGTTAATATGAAGGCTATAATTTGTTGAATTGAACCGTAAAAACTGGATTAAACCTCCGACTTTCCATTATCATTACGCAATAATCTTTTCATAAGTGGCTATTATTTCAGAGATAAATAGCTGCTTATCCACCTCTTTGATTGTAAACGAAGAATGCATACACATGTGGTGTCTACTAACTTGTAGCGGGCGATTCATTGCCAAAAGCAAGCAAAGCTTGAGTGAAGGTACCTTGTGAAATGTAGTATGTAAAAGTTAACTGCTCACCCGAAACATGGTAAATAATGCTTTGAGAAGGTAGAAGAATGCAATGAAGGCGTTGAATGTCTCCTCCACGGACCGCCGTATATGGTTGGCCAATGCAGACAAATTGAAGGTAAGTATTATAAGACCGAACGCGGCGCAGTAAATGGCCACCCAGAACCGCAGACGTGGCGGGGGCAAATTGACGCTCCTGGCCAGCTAATAAAACCGGGAAATGAAGGACAGTTTTTCGCTGTTTATTAATGGTTAACCACTTGACCACCTCGTACTTTCGAGCAGTTCACCCCATAAAAAGTTTGTGTCCAGGGAAGTAAAATTAAACTCCTTGCTTCACCATTGGTTACGAACAAAAGTTTTTCACCCATGGATAATCCTGCATGAGCCAAAATAAGCACGAATACATTGTTTCTATGCAGCTCAGCCGACATGCCACACCTCGACTGCAGTTGCACAGACTATCCGTCATGCTAGGTAATGGTTACCTAGAAATAAGTGTTCTAACTGATTTTATAAGCAATACTGAAACGGCTAGAGCCCAACACTGTCAACACAAATCTATGATATGTCAGTTCAAGAGCATAATAGACACACTAAGCATTATGCGTTCTAAAGTAATGCAGGTAAAGGGAAGCAATGGACTGATGGGCAGGAGGAAACTGGTTGACAACCTTTGAGGTATCATCAGCGATGGATTTGAAATCGTTCATGAGCTACAGTTGTCCGCTTACTCCCCAATTAAGTTGAATTGATGTTAGTGGCTCATGTGACAAGCAAGTATACCCGATGGATGTTAATGAAACACAAGCCAGAGATGCACTCTGGCAGTAGACAATAGCTAGATTCTTTGGATTCAATGAGTTAGGACGGAGTATATTATTAGACATGTTGCAAAACACTGGTTAACAAAGACATGTGTCATTAACTAGCCATACCGAAGCAATTGATGTTTCCAAAATGAATGTCGGACCAGTGATCCCAACGAATCCAAGCGGCTGGCCCGCGAATGCCGTGAAAGTTAGCAAGTAAACGCCGGTCGCCAAGATGGCCAGGGAGATTGTATAGGAAGAACCCACTTCGGTATCTAGAATAGATTTACAGACAATGACTCATGAAGAAAAGTACGTTCCAGTCTAATTGACTTGTGGATGCGGAACAAATCTCAAAATTGCGTCTTAGTTTATCTTCATACGTGCGCAACTGATGTCGAGTGAACTATCCCAACAAAAGAACTGTGTTGTGAATTGGACCGAGAGTAAGACAAGGTCAGTGCCTGCACTGCATTACCCATTGACGAGTAAACAGAGATATTTTTGAGAGTACGTCTACGCGAGCACAACAAATTGCAACAAATTACAACTTTGGCACCTATAAAACTTTACCGATCTCTCTAAGTAGAATAAGGTAGAGGTTTCTCTAAGTCCTTAGGTGGAGCCACTGTTTCAAGGTGCTTTCGGGGGAAAACGTTTGAATCATATTTAGAGCATGGCGAGTTAAACCCAAACAGACAACGCATCAATTTTGAGGCAGTGAAAGACTACCGTTCTCAGCGAACACAGTACCATCCGGAACAAATTTACATCGAAACTTTTAGTTTTGTCAGTACACATTGGTTGAATACATCTTGTGCCCGAGTGTACAATCCATTTGAATTAGTAGTATGTTTATACTGCAGTGGAGTTAATAGTAGAGCTAATAGATATGAAACTCCTCTTTTGATCCCATTTCATCGTCCTAGCTTTACATGTTCTCAGTCTGCAGTGAGACCATTGAAGTGGGCTACGTGATTAAAACTAGCCATATTTTGTTCCCAATTGTTGGTTCCTGCGGCACAGTAGCTGAGGTGTTCCCCACCTCTAGCTAGCGTGTATGATGATGATGATGATGATGAATTGTTGGTTCCTCATGAAAATGATAATGGTTTGAAAAGAGGTCACAGATCCTGCACAGTGAGCTTGGTCATGTGAAAATTCTAACCGAAAGACGTTCTCTGTAGGTTGCAGATTGCATTATTTTCATTGATAATCGTTGTCAGTGTTCTGCTGTAATTGTCGTACATATAACATCACAGTGTCAAACTGAACTGCTTTGATTAACTGATACGGAATTTGTGTAGAAAGGTCAATTTTGCAAACAGATCGCAGACGGGTCGCAACCGCCAAACCCGTAGAGCAGATCGAAGTTCTAAACGGTGACTAACCACATACACTGGTAGTTCCCTTGCTTGCGATACAGTTTGATATCCAACTACGAGTAGGCTTATATTATCGCCTTACTCATTTACATTGAATTCTACGATTGTTATTCTGTAGCATCACTCATTTCGATGATTCGCTTTCATACCCCGGTAGCTAGCCAATGAAATCCGGTATTGTTTCAGCCCCAATTTGCTTATGTCATTCTTACGGATTATGTTTCGTCTCTGTGAATTATAATGTTACAACCTACAGGCTATAGTTTCTATACCTTTTCTCTCTCAAGTTCATTCATATCGCTCTCAAATTCCTCCCTAGGGAAAAATTTTCTTTCATAGATCTCTCAAGATGATCCCTCGCGCCATCAGAGTGCATCAAACGGGAGCAAACCCTCTCAAAAATGTGTATTGTCCGTAAAGTTACCAACCCCAAATCAGCCGATAGTATAACAGAGCGGTATGCTAATGGCTGAGTTGGGGCGTTCTCGCTCGCTGGATGCATTTGCATAGGGATAAAAACAATCCTGAGAGATCTATGGAGAAGCATGAATTCCTTAGGCAGGCATTTTTGAAGCGCTATGGGTGCAATTCGCTACGAAAATGTATCCTACCCAAAAGACTGCGCCTAGAGCATATAGGATGACCTGTAAAGTGTCAGCGATGCAATTATAAGGTGCCCTAGCTAATTAAATTATGTGATTCAAAGAACGAACAAAATAATACTTCAATTGCTAAAAATAGTGTGATACGTCGTATGCTGTTTAAGAGGAGGGTTTCCGCAACTATAGTTGGAATGAGTTCTTGATTTTATAAGTTATATGGATGCCCCAAATAAAACCGAATGAAACACGATTGCCATTTCATGATCCCCATCGCTCAAGGGATGGTGGAATGCTTCAATAATGTTAGCACCTCTGGTGGTTCGGATAAATCTTTCACAACCATTCTAAAAGTAGAAGAAAGAATGTCGCTACCAGGCGCATTCCAAGTCTACGACGAGCATTGTAAGTGAAAGTAGGACTCTTCACGTTGTTCTATCGCAGGCATCTAATCGATCTCATCGTGACCTACCGCATATCACATATCGGCGACTTCCTCATGTTGAGCCCACAGCTTCACTTGTGAACGCCATGCGGCATGCGCAGATATCAGTACAACTGTGTGGTACCGGGCATTAAACGACTCCCTCACCTAGTGTGCTTCGAATGTAAAGTTATAAATGTTTGGGAACAGTATAACAGAATAAGTCTTGCAGGCCAGATCAGTACAGCAGTTGAAAGCGTTGTTGGATACGCATTTCATCACTGTGCAATTCAGCGGATGATTGTAAACGGGCAATGACATCTTACATTTATTAACACAGTCAGACCTTTAAAGTGCTACATAAGAACTTGAAGAACGATTACTGGTGGCGGAAACCCACTATAAGAGTTTTGGTTATAGTGCGTTAGAGATGTGCAGAATTAAATTTTCAGTTAACTCAATAATATGGTATTCAGTAGCATAAAAACACAGGCTTCCCTTGAGTCGGTAAAGAGGCCTGGGAGTTACCCATTTCCATTGTTTCTAAATTCGACCACGTTGGAACTGCGAATAAGTCCATTGTAGTTCTGCACTTCTTGACGAACAGCGACGCTGGCAAGTACTTAAACATAATAATTGCGCGGATGCAGATTCGTCATGAGTGCGAAATTAAAACATATTGGATCTCTGATCTAAATAGGGAAGATTGATCATAGTGACGGTCCTTACACATTCGTGAGAGACGAACGGACTGAGTCTATCTGGCGTCTACCCTAACTATCGAAGGTAGCCACCGCACTATTAAAGACACTGCGTTCGTTGTTGTGTTAGGTGAAATTTCAGGGACAGTGGGTAAACCGCGCTGGGTAGAAGCATCGAGAATCAGAGCTTGTACAGTGGGACGAGCATTCAACCCTGAAATGGTAAACGGAGAGGTCAAGTACGTATGGACGTTGCATAGCTACTTCTGGGGACAGAACAATACGACTACCTAGTACAACTGCATGAGTCTTATGGCATCTGGTTAGTAAAGTGTAGGTTGTAAGATGTTGATAAAGCAATCAATGAACCAACCGCAATCTATTTACTAGCAAGTCATTAAAAAGGGATACGTACTATAAATATCATGCTGTGTCAAATTTAACACGTTTTCTCGGAGAACGGCACATGTGCTGTTTGCGGTAAAGTAAGCAACAAGTGTTTCCCTGGATTGCACTCCAAGTTACCGGACTGTTCGGTTGCTGTGTTAAGAGAATGGGACTAACTAGAGCTACACACATTAGAACAGTAAGTCCCAGTTGATCGACGAACAATGTGTTATCAAACTGTAAGTCTCACCAAAGTTGCACGTCCGACTTTCGAAACTTTTGATCAAAGTAAACAAAGTAAACTGATGTAAAAATTGTTAATTTTCTACTGAAAATTGTACTAGCTCAAACACAAATCACCACAACATGCCTGTCTCTCGGGGTTCGCTCCGTAAATCATTTGTCTACTGTTACTGTCGTAGGAAGAGAAACGGTGGTGAAGTGAGTTATGTAGTTTCCTATCCAGCCCCACACATAAGCTCTTGGTACGGTAAGCCTTCCTTCTGGTACTCATTGGAACAAGCTCGCGAATGATATTCAGAGGATATGCAGAGTTCATTACTTCAATAAATCTGATGGTCTCAGGTCGCACACCTGACATACATCAAAAGTATGCTGCAGTATGCTGTCGCTAGCCCACGAACACTGCACTCAAAGTACCTAAAAATTAGGGCCTCGATTTCCCAACTGGAGGGTGAGCGATCACGTGATTCGATTTAGACATGTGTGTGCAGTAGCTAGTAACTGTGGAAGGGAGCTGTGACAATTTGTCTCTGGCCCTGAATCCTTACCCTACGCTCCAACTCCTTACCTATCACACGATTCTCTCCATACCACAAATACACCTAATCTCTTAACCTGTGAACACTTGTTTATTGAAGCTCTTGGCAAAAGGAAGTTTGTGCAATTTGTTGAGCTGTCCCAAGCTACACTTCCTTCAAAAAGCGGTGCATGATTCGTGCTTGTCTTCGTGTGTCGTTGAGTTTTCTTACCTGGCATTAGGACACATTCTGTGGCCCTCTGACATTGGCTTGACGTAAATGCTACTGTATAGTACTGAATATAAGCCGATAATTTTTGTGCACTTTTCCAATTCTGTAAATGTCAGATTCGGGAAGAAACAAGTTCGTTTGATTTTGCTGGTATTTTTGGGGTCTGCTAGTGTAGGGACTTGCAACTTTAGACAAATTGGATATTGTTGTTAAAAGGTTGCCTTAAGTTCGGTAATACATGTTAATAACTAGTTCCATCAGTTGATTTCCCTTTAAGGTGTGCTATTCGTCAAAAAGTAGTCGGCCTATTCATCCCATAATCATCACTTAAACATTTGCTCCTGAGACTCCACTTTGTCAAATAATTTGGATTAAATTAGCGCAACTTACCGCGAAAGTTGCCCTACACGCTCAAGCAACGCCACCTAAACACCAAAAGGCAACTGACATCAAGTACGACCAAGATGGTGTCTCTTATTCTTAAGCGGTACCCTTGGAACTTAGTAACTCGATCAAAACGATCTATCTGGGTTAAGAATCCCAGTAGCAACCATTGTCTGATTTGCCGAACAACCTTCGCGTGGTGCCAGCTGGGTGGTACAGGATTAACCCGTTCCAAGAAATGGTTAGGCGACAGTATATCAGGACGTGGTGGGTTTTCGCCTGACAAGCGTTCTCTATAAAAGTCCACCTACGTCCGTTAAACAATACTGTGACGTGGCGTATGTGACACGCCAGTAAATAAAGTCACTGCCCCTTGCTCCATACTGGTGAAGCATTGCATTCTAGCAACTTACTGCTGAAATAATGGGGTTCATTGGCTCCTGTTTGATAAACGAACAAACGGAAGGTCTATGAACTAAGCAACCAATCACCGATCCCCAATGGGGACGATTTCCTGAATTCGCTCCGGTGCCTTGGGGGTAGGCAATTCGGCCAAAGATTCGGGATAGTGTCCTTTAAATCAACAGTCCACCTCGACTTCAACAAACGGGTAGTATCGTGCCCACTGACAAAACCATGGACTCCTCCGTGTTACGTTATGTTTTCTTTTATGATATCTGTACCATACTTTGAGTTCTGTGGTTGCTGATGGCTGATGTCTATTCGTAGACGGAACTTTATGCCGCCAACCAAATACAAACATATATATATATATGCTTGGTGGCATAAGGTTCCGGATTTGTCCGTCACTGTGGTCTCCACACGAGAACTGCAGGACCTCTGCTCCTACGTTGTGACTATGGATGGCTTGCACTGCACCACCCACAGCTCCACCCACACACCTCATATCCAGTGTAAACCCAAAGGAATAAGACCGGGAAGTACGCGGACGGGAGCCAAGTTTCATCAACGGAGCCGGCCCAAACTCCTTCACAGACAAACACAAGCACGTTTTATTTGGGAATCAAGCGCACACAAGGCGGTGGCTTGACCATAGTCCGCTCTAGACTGAGTGCATAGAACCACTTTTTGAGCCTAGCACGACCACAAGGGCCGTGCACCCGTCCCCTTCAAGCAAAGATCAACTGTTTCCTAGAGCCAGTATGGACGAGGTAGTGGTAACAGATAGGTAGGCACCTTGTATTCATACACAGCAAGCGCAGCAACTGCGGGGATGTCAAGTAGCAGCCAATCACATGATATATATATATATATATATATATATATATATATATATATATATAACTAACAAGCAAGGCCGGGTGATCGTACGTCTCGATCCATCGTGCGTTGATCAGCTAACCTAAACAGAAAACCAATCCTATTCACCTCTTTTCGGCCTAGTATTGTCCGTGCCTAATTATGAGTGTGCTCAGGGTAGAAACTAGACCATTGTTCAGGTATTTGGCTGGCTTCTACCAGCTTTAGCCTAAGATTGAGCATAGTGAACCGTTAGCAATATGAAGTACGTCACGCGATTCGGTTGGTAAGTATTTGTGATGTCAACTACCTGTAAAAGTGTGCTCGAACCAGTTGCCTTCCTCATCTGTACGTAACGGTAAGGATGCAGTTCACCTTCATAGTAAGCTCAATGGTAATATCAGGGACTGGTGAACGTGTTTATTTATTGCTGGTAATTGAAAACGCTACAAAGTTCATCAAATAGCCAACCTTTTAAGTCGTATATTGTCTTTACTGGTCAGTCTCGGTATAATAAATTTTTGTTTAGTTAGCGTGTATAGTCGTTATATTGCGTGGCGTGTATACCGTAAGAGTTATGGACTGTAACTCAGAAAGTCACTTTAGTGTGTCGCATTAAGCTTATTTTCCAGAAGATTATTGCATTCACTAATGCTCACCTCTAACGATTCCGGTTTTATACACAGCCATTACAACTGGTTCAAGTATTCCGCATTTACGCTGGTTGTGAAGATGATGAGCCGATACGAACAACGACCTCTGCCATTTCCAGGGTACTGTGCCCAGTAATGTTACAGCACTTTATGAGTATTAAAGTTGGATGGATGACAGATACTGAAGGAAGCATTCTGTTTGCAAATACTGTGAGCGTTTCCGTAAAATGTAAAGTAAACATCCAGTCGACAGTTCACTCACCTTTGCTGACATGCTTAGCTACATTGCTTGTATATCAAAGCGTAACTCTCGGGTTTAGATAATTCAAGTACATCAAAGACGATAAGTATGGAAACATCGCTGACAGACTAAGTGTCTGTCGGATTTTTAAACCTAAGCACATATATTGGCCGTTCTAATGCATTGTGTAGCTACAAAGAGAAAAGTAAATTCAAAACAACCTTCAAACTGACGTGTGGTTTTCACGCCTGTGATAGCATGATCGTAATTCAGAATGGGACATTGTGGCCAAGGATTTCAATATAACCAGGCCTCCACAGCGACGGGAATGTCCTTACATGTTTGTGGATAATCTGGCCAATAGAAGTATTACGACAATGACTTTCATTAGGGTTGATGACAACCGCACTGAAAAGCTTCACGGATTACGTGTATATATGGTATGGGACAAAAGACGAGAACTACCGCATCACAGTGTGAGGATGTAATAGCGAACGCAGACCCGAAGCATTCTGTTTCCGTGTCTTCTTACATCACATATCGTATTTGTTGCTGTTAACTAGATGTTCAAAGTAGGAGATACCAAAAGCTGAGAAGGGATATAGCCCTGGAATACATCGTACTATAAAAACATTTAAAAATTGCATTGCTATCCGGCTGTGAAGGGAAGAGTATTATAGCACACGCTGCGTAAACGACTTGAATAGAGAATATCACGGGAATAATGACCACCTAGGTTAGATTGTGTGGCTGAGCAAGCCATTCAGTTTTGAGTCGAAGGCGAGTGTAAATATTTGGTCAAAATGAAGATGAAGGCTAACTTATGCCACTTGATTTACCTGAGAGATTGCTTATTGGCTGGAGATGAATTAGTGTGTTTTAAGACAAGTTAGAAGCGGAAACCCCATTGGGTTCCTGGGGATCCACCAAAGAACCAGACGACTGTGGAATGTAACATCCAGCCGAATTGCTCGTAATCAAACGGTTACATACCCATTTGTTGTGTATCAGTTCTTGTGCAGGGTGCATATTAAAAGCGGTCGCACGACTAATAATATGAATAAGCCGCAAATTAGATCATGTTACATGGGAACAAATTTAAACGCCTGAGGAGACCATTTTGTGTTGGACAAGCAACTACAGAACAAATAGCAGTACGAGTAGAAACCGCCTTTTGTAGGAAATTTGCACAAACCAAGTAAATAATTTTACCAGTCACTCCGTATCTACTTGAGTGTGCAAAGGTTTGCAAAGATAGATCAGCAGTAAGTAGGTTCCTTCATCTCGCGTTAAGTACTCGGAAGTTAACAGATCTGATCAAAGGAGCTGCTGGGTATTAATGTGATTCACCTTACTAATATACGGTGGTCCGTGGATATCGCTTGTGAATGTAGTCAGCTCATCACAAGGGTTGCATGTTGCAGACTAAATTGACCTACCTCCAGTAATATGAAGATCAGTATGCCCAAGCAAAATGAATAAATTTCGTCAGTGTCATGGATCAACAGCTTGGTGAATCCGAACATATTGTTACTTTGAGCATGAATTCCACGGAATGTAGATTGCTGTCTTACAAACAGTTTACGTGTTGTGTTCAGTGTGCGGTTGTTGTGCCTAAAATATCCGAGCGTGACATAACAAATTCAAAACTTCGACTGCTTTGGTAACATTTGCTTCAGCCTGCAGCAATTCAACAGAAACTTTCTCCGGCACAAGTACACTTAATCCAAGCACTTTCTTAAATTGCAAGCTCCGCGAATAACAAGTCTCTTACCGTCAATTGGTAGGTCACATCTGTATAGTTTTGAACAGTATACAAATGTATCTGGCAGGCTGCGTACACATCCTCATAGTGTATTGTGTATCACATTTATCTGTGCGTTTGCTTGAGTGAAGTTTATCGTGCTAGAAATCAAGTAACATCCAGTCCGAGTGAATTGTGACCTTTACACAATTGGATCGCATGCAGGCCCAGGCACTGAGCTGAAAAATAGCGATGACTGACCTCTGCTAAACACTGGTTTTACTCCCCATTTTAACGACCTTACTAGTCTGTCTTATTGATTGGATTGGTATATATTTGTACAAGTCTAAAGAAGAATTAACGAAAACAAACTAACATAATTCTTTTTTAACGGCACAATAGCCGGCTGAAAGCTTTGCGGGACGATGTCCATCCGTTACTGGTGGCTCAACTGGCGTGCCCCTGTTGCATGTTCTTTTTTATCTTCTTTTCTTATGTATTGCGGTACAATAGCTAAGGTATTGTCCAGCCATGGTTAACGCACATAATGAATGTATGGATTATTGGCTACGTTTATTCTGAGGAACACAAGGACTAGGCAATAATCAGCAAAACTCCTCTATAGCCATACTGATTCAGTGCCATGAAAAAGGCGCATCACACCGAACGCATTGTTCACTGGATGCGGTGGCCAGATTACAAAGTAATACTCAACTTGTTTTGTCTAAGCAGTACGAGGCACAACTGTGTAAGCCTAATCATGGTGTGGCGTGGTTGCACATGATAACAAGCATAAGCTGATCGGAAAAGCGGCAAGCAGATCAGATGTGGATAGGATGAACGGAATCATGTCATGTTACCACTTACTGAGTAACGCTCCAAACGTTATCGCAGGAGCTAAATTGACGAAGTACAGATAGAGTACACTGCAGAATACGATGCCGCTGTTTTCTTTGTTAAACGCGTCTCTGTAGTCGCTCGGCATCCGGCGAAGCCAAGGTCTAATTCCATGAGCAAAATCAGTGAAAGGAGGGCAAAAATCTTTTAGAAACTGGGATGTCTTCTTTTTCACTCCCTCCTCTTCCACTGGGGTCCGGCTACTTGGCCGACGTGTGGCATCCAGTTGAGCTAAAGCACCGTCATGAAGAGCTAGATCAAGTGCTGACAGCTTTCTTGGTCCGACACCATAGGCAGCTGTCTCGGCCATACTTGTCCGCTTAGTCCCTTCAGTAAATAAGAAAAAAGTTAAAAAGGGAATTAATAGGAACGATAACACTAATTAGATATCAATAACACCTAGGCAACAATCAGGTCTAACAGGTTAAAGACCGAGGTTTTAATTTTTGCTGCACTTTAGGTAGTAACAACGCGAAATATTGTTGAACATATTTACCATGTCTTACTTAAAGTCAAGTGCATGTGTTATGCGGTAGGATCCCGGTGAATCAGATGGCACAAAATAATTAATTTTTAACCGTAATAACAACTAAAGTTTATAACAAGCGAAAACAAGTACAAAGGTGGAGTAATAAATGCTGAATATTACTACAATTTGTGCTTGAATGATAAGCGTGACCTTTCGAGTTAAAGTGATACACGAATTATGTCTGGAGAACTCTAGCTCTATGTGCTGTCATGCAGGGTTTTGTAATTTCCTAGGGTCAAGGAAGTGCATGTACACCAGGAAACGCACTTTTGTGTATATTATTACAACCATTAAGTACTACTGATAAGAGGCTTTTGCAGAAACTGGCTGAAGTGGAATCTAACAACCGTTAATGGTGTAACCTCACTGCGCCGTGCTAAATATTCGCTTGACCCAATAAGTGTTTTAAACTCTTTGCTTAACAAGCCCGTCGAAATCCCCGTTGGGAAGTGTGATAAATCGGGGGAACCATGTAGCGACAAATCGGAACACCATCTAGACTAAAAGGCTATAAAAAGGCGTGACACGGAGTGACTCCCGAGCATTTCGATGCTTTCAGCGAGCAAGTCATGTGGCTTGAGCTAGATTGTGATTATATCATGCTACGTTTGCAACCTAGTCGAAAAAACCGCGGTTACCATCATTGGTACTTAAGATCAAGCCATGTTCGCACTTATGCAGAAGCACCCATTGTGAAGCAGGAATTAGAGTATTGTAAGTAAAATTTGAAATGGTGACTGTAGTATGTCAAAACATATGCTGGGTTGACGCCAAGCCCGATAGACTATGGCCTGAGTGAAACAATTCTTCAGGAAGAAAACTGATGAAATTTGGATTCAAGAGACCGGTGGATTCCGCAATAACAATCCAAGCTTTAAGCGGCAAACCGCACTAATTCAACGAAATATTCTCCACGGAATTTCTCAAGTCAGATTGTCCTGCATATGCGCAGGACAGTGCCACGTTCTCAATTTGTATCTTTGCAACTTGTTACTTTTTGGTTATTCGTCTTAGTTGGTAACAGAGTTTTCATGATGCCCAACAAGGCTCGATTACAAACGGAAAATATCATCGAAGTAACGACAAATACAGAATCTGACAATGTGTCCTTTATACTCGAAGAGGTCACTTTACTCCGTAGTCCAGTAGTTATGAGGTACTTAGTGTCAAGTCGATTAGACCCTTACCAAACATTTGATGAAACTGTCAAGAGTTCCTCAATAAAGTTTGCAAGTCAGCCGTAGGATTCTTCGACTTTAGAATTGACGCAAGGCTGGAGATATGAAAGTTGGACTTTATAATTTGGCTAGCTCATACATCGTGGTTACAAAGTCAGCGTCAAACAGAATGAATTGTAAAGGGAAATAAACTTCCTACATTGCTTTCGGTACAAGCTCAAAGATTTGCTGTGTCTATGAGGACCATGCACATAGCGATAAGTTAGAAAGCCTATTCCAATCTTTAACCTTGCTTTTGGCCACTACTCCACCTCACGCTCTCATTCCACCTAGTCTGAGCACGTACTATGCAGCCTTGTCAACACACAAGTATTGAAATAGCACGGTTCTATCTTCGCTTGGCTTTTCTTGCTATTTTTATTTGCTTCCATTTACCAGTTAACTTTTCATAATGCCAAGTTCACGTTGCAGCTCTCCCGACTACATGGAAGCTCAAAGGTGAGACTGTCGGCTAATTGCGCATTTCTGTGTCAATTTGTGCCCATACTCGTTTGCACAAACACGCGGTCCTCTAAAACGGAAAATCAAAGCAAATCGCTTCACCAACATATTTGTTTTTATCTCCTGAATAGCTTACTCTTCTATCCCACAGACAAATCAGCACTTTCCCCGAATTATATATATATATATATATTCCCGGAATTAAGTGCTCTAGTTAAGATTCACAACGTTAATAACGTTACAATGTGTGTGCGTTTCTTTCCAGACATATCAAATCTCTCTCATCGCATCCACTTTAGCTTACCATGTAATTTTCACTTATAAAAGAAAATACCGGACGTTGACTCAACTTTCTGTTGCTATTCAGGAATAAGGCACTGATTCCAGACCGTTTGAATGGGTGTGGAAACGGAAAACAATATCATCGAGAAATGCTTAGGCTCTTTACTGTGTATATAGTTGAAAATATTAGTGCGCAGATCAACACGTTCCGTTAAATCTACATACACGAGAAGGTACATTATATAACTACTAGTCTGTACCCTACATAAGAGAAAAAATAACATGTATCTATTTATCCGGCGCATCATTCCTAAGCCAACAGTCACGAAAGGCACTTCGATCCACCGAATCGAAAGCAATTTCAAATAAAGAATCACTATCGCGGTGGGTCATCAGCAGACGCGGCGCTGCCCCCATAAATAATGTGCGAAGAAAAGATCGAAACCGCCTCGAATTCGACGAAACTCGATATGCTTCTCACGAATCTGAGTTTTGCAGCTGACTGTCAGACTGAGATGAAACACAGGGGCCAGTCGCTTGGTGGTGATATGGATATAGCTGATACATTCATGACATTGAAAAGCGCAGTAGGAACACGAGGACTGACAAAGGAACGTATTTCGTATTGTCGTATTAGTACCTAATAAAATAACGCAACAAAATTTATTCATGACAGCTTGCGAGCACGTATGCGTGCGTTCAAACAGTCCCACAACAAATAAGCGAAACGGGGCTATTACCCCTCGCTACATGGCTGTCTAAGGCTGACCAATAATTGCTTCTGAACACAAAGAATCGGCTTAATCCGGTTAATTGCAACTGCTTCTGCGAAACGGAGGCGAGAATTGGTATGATGTAATAGGATTGCGAATGCCGAAGTGACCTCGACTCGGTGACCTGTAGCCAACACGTGTCGGTCGACCGAAGACGCCGGTAGCCCACGACAACGAGGAGCTTGAATTAGGCTAGTTGCTCGCGTGGTCGAATGTTGAACTCATTAAGGCACACGGTCCTTCAATCGAGAAGTCAGTATCCTATCGGTTCCTCCTACGTAACTGGCACCGCAGTCATATACGAATCGGCATATGTAATGTGACTTGTTCCTGATAGCCTAAGCGTCCTTTACAAAAGGAAATGGCAGTTTTGGGGTTCGAATAATGACAACCATCTTGACAGCGTAGTGAGTAGTCTGCGTGGTACAGATCAGACGCCGCGTGATTCTCAGTGAAGAAACCTCACTCTTGGATAGCAGTTCAGTGTGTACAAGTTTCTTGTTTACCGTAGGCACCACGTTCCTTTGTCGAACTTGACTACTCTTCTCGAGGAAAATACGAGGGTAGCCTTTTTCAGTAAGCGTATTCGTAATCAAATGCATGTCGTCAGCCGAACAACGAGCTGATCCGATTCGTCTGGTCCGACTAATCGGAGTTCTTACGTGCGTCCGCTTATATCGTATTGGTGTGAACCTAGTGAAATTCACATACTGGCCAGGCCATGTTACTTTCTTGTAGGTAGACCTATAATCTGCCTGTTTTCGCATGCCACTTTATTGGCAGTTGCAATACCACTATATGTTATCCTGATGAGACGAGTTAACAGTTTTACACTCAATCGTTCTTCCTGATACGGTCTGTGCTGAGAATCGACCGATTTTTCTTGCTGGGTCATTTCAACGCGCACTTTGTGCGCAATGCCACAGTGGGGACAGACGTAATCGGTCCGTAGGGTATTGCCACAGCCAATGGTGACGGTGGCCGGCTTCTCTCATTGTGCGCCGTCCAAGGCTTGATGATCACGAACACATAGTTTGCGCTGGGTGCGAGTTATATAGCTATTTTGACGCTCCCACTTGCTGGTCACGCTGGAATGATCCACTATGTCATCGTACACTAGCGTGATCCATCGCATTGAGGCTGGACCTTAACATGGTGCGATGGTTTGCTAGCCTCAGAGATCCATTGAGCTATGCTGGGTGGTGCTTTTGCACCTTCAGAGTCACTCATATCAGATTGGTCAATGATTAGAGAACGGACAAACTCAACCTTCTGGTCCTCCAGGTTGGGTGTTGGAATCAGGGCAGCTCCTTATCCCTTAAAACGGATTCTTTGTAGCCCACCGCCAAACCCGCTGCCTTGCGGTCAGGTTTTTAAAAGCCAAAGGCTTTGGTTAAGAACCCTAATCGTTCTCCTGTCTAGGCCTGGGCAACCTGACAGTATCTCAGCCCATATACAGCCATGACATTTTCTGCAAACATAAACTTCATCCTGCATCGGCCGTCGCGCAGATTATCAAGGGTCGCCTTATCTGCTACATATAGCAGGGCGGATAAGCGAAAACATGCTACTGCTGGCGCCTCCCTTCTTTCTTTTCCACCTGTTTCTCTTACTCCCATCCCGAACTCCATTACTAACCTCCTATAATTCCCATCTTAATTGACAGCAACCGAAGTGCCACTGGAGTAGAAACATCTGCAGCTACCTTCTAGCGACACGCACCGGACGCCTATCGGTAACAGACGCTTATAAGCTCGCGCTATCCCGTTGCCATGGCGACACGCAACGTTCGCAATCTAAGACAAACAGGCGCACCTTGGACACACTGGGTATTGATGTGTGTTGTGTGTCCGAAACTAGGATCAATGACCCTAATGGGACTGTTGAATTAACTGCGTCCGGCTTATCCTCTCGTTATTGGTTGCACGCATCCGGAGACGCCGACGCAGCACTCGCGGGTCAAGCTGGTGTAGGTGTCATTCTAAGCTCCAAGGCTGAGCCATCGTTGGTAGATTGGATTCCGGTGAACAGCCGTTTATGTGCAGTCCATTTGACGACATAAGC